ATACATACCTTAATCGTATTAAGTTTAATAATATTCTTTGAATGAAATAAGTGAGAAGTTTCTAAAGTCAATTGATGCAAACTTTACGGGAAAAGAAAAGAAAGCAGGTGAGCTTAATTTGTATTAACATATTTTGGTTAAAATTTATATAATACTTAGTTATTTTTATTTTTAATAAACCATACATGTTTGGGGATAATCCCGATGATAAGTCAGACCATAAATATCACTCTGAATCTTCAGAAGACAATATTTATAAAACAATAAAATAATTAATAACATTGCTATGTTTGTTTTATTAAAATTAATATGCTTTTTGAAATAATTGAGATTGATAAAATTTGAAAAAAACTAATTTTATATACTAATGTTAAACTTTAATGAAGGAAAAATAAATAAATCAGCAGTTCTCGCAAAATCATATTCATCCTCCACCTCTATCTTTATCTCCTCCTTTTCCAAAAGCAGCTTTTGTAATGTGCTGTTTTAAAAACGAGTTGATATCGTAAAAGCATTTGCAACAACAACAACAATGTATAAGTAAGTTACATTGTTTCTTTTTAAAAAGTGAACAAATATTTTTAAAATTGTATTTTACTATTACATTTTTATATTATATCATATATGTAACTACATATACAATATTGCATATAAATAATTACATATGTATTAAATATGTAATTATACTTAAAAGATCAAGAAAAACACTGCAGTTCTAGGTTTGAAAACATTTTATTACCAGACTAAGCAATGACATCAAGCTTTACAGGTTTATCCGTCTTTCTATTACTTTTGTTATTATTGTTATTATATGTGATAAAAGTATTTCTAAGAGTATTATTATTTTTACATATATATATTTGAAATTTCTTAATAAAATATGCAGATATCTTTTTATAGGTAGTTAAATGCTAATTAGTAATTGACTAATAACGCCAAATGTAAATAAATTATTTTAATCAAAATATAAATATATATTATAAGAAGACATTTTCAGTATTATGTTTCTAAGGTATGATTTGTCAATGATCAGTAACATTTAGTCGTTAGGTTCTATGATTTATCTAACTAATTTAAATTTGATCTTTGAGTTTATTTTAGAATCACCCTTTCAAATTGCCTTTTGGCATTTTGGAGGGGTGACTCTAAATCGTTCCACCCTCTAACTTTCAAGAGGTAACTCTAAAATGTACTACCCAGTGATTTTGTGACTATGTGAGTGACTATGAAATGTTTGACCCTCTCATTTTGTATTAAAATAAATTAAAAATTGAACCCATTTAAACTGTTTTTATATTGAGAAGTAGTAAATATTAGAAAATGGGTATTGTAACAATACCAACAGTTTTTTATGATTTTAGGTCAAACCGCATTAAATACTTTTATCATGAATCTTTTAACCAAAAGTACTTGGATCATTGAAAAAAGTTAAACAGACTCAAAAATTGCACTCTGCATTGATAATTTCGCTGCAAAAGCAACAGGTTAAAGCTTTTTCATCACAACAACTATTTGCTGGTCTTACTTTGCCATTCCATTTATTTACTGAGGTTGATATTGCTTAGGAATCGCTAAAAGACAATGCAATTCAAAAAATATTGGTTCTTATTATTATTTTATTTCATTTTTACATTTGTAAAGTCAAGGCATGAAATAATAACGCATGTTGTTGTTATAAAAACTATAAACTTTATTTAGGTCATTTATTGATAATGTACTAACTGTCATTTAAACAAAAGTTATAATAAAAAATGGTGGGAGTAAATTAGGAAATTTTGTTAAAAGATGTAATATGTAGTTGCATTTTGCTTCAGCTTTAGCCAGCAATACAATTTAACTAGTGCATCACGTCAAGACAGGCGTGGATTAATAAACTAACGTTGTTCAATTACTTTTTGGCAAGTAACATGTTTTTCAACTAAATTTTAACAATCGTCTAAATTTATGATTACATTTTGTTATAAGTTACACCAGTTATAACAAGTTAGTATATATATATATATATATATATATATATATATATATATATATATATATATATATATATATATATATATATATATATATATATATATATATATATATATATATATATATATATATATATATATATATATATATATATATATATTTATATATATATATATATATATATATATATATATATATATATATATATATATATATATATATATATATATATATATATATATATATATAATAAAATGATCACAATCTAACAAGAAGTAAGTTTATGTTACAATTGTTTCATAAATAAGTTTTTTAATAAATGTATAAAACTATTTCTATCTATATTATCTCTACTTCAGTTAGCAGTTGCTCTACATTACTTATACTTTTAGTAGAAATAACTTTGTCTATATAACATTGAGCTATGATTTTTTTTTAGCCTAGCCGGAAAACTTTACTCAGTAATAACAATCATTTATTAGAAAAAATTAAGAAAGCGATTGTATGTTAAGTTTAAAAAATACAAAAAAAATACTTTCACCCTATAAAGAAAGGCAACTATAAATATCGAAAAACCTAAATCTTGACTAAAGAACTAAGGAGATGTAAAATGCACGCAACAAATGATTCAGAGTCTTCAAGTTTTAAACATCTAGAATCAGTTTTTTTTTTTAAGTTTAGCTTGTATATGCAAGTTTTTTTATAATTTTTCAAAACTGGTGTTATATTTATTAATCTTGGTTAAATACTTCAATGTAAGTTTATACATTTGAAGAAAGTGCCTAATTTTTGCGATTTTTTTTGCATTAATTTTAGAGTGATAAGTGAAATATCACTTTTTAGAACGATAAGTGAAACACCATTGTTTGTACATTAGAAAAGCAAGTCCTGATATTAAAGTGAAAAACGTTGCCAAATGTAAGTTCATCTGTTTTTATTCAACATTTTATGCTAAATAAAACCAGATAAATGCTGCTCGAAATATTTAAAAATGTAAATGTATTTTTAACAAATTGCTAAATTATACATTATACATAATAATACATTATAAATAATACATAAAGCACATCTTCACCAAATTAAAAAAAAAAAAATTCATTGTTATGATGAACTGCCATAAAGTTTTAAGTCTATTAGTAAAAATAGTATGTTATTAAATGTTATCTTTTCCTTTTTTTAAAAGATATTTATTGTATTTAATTTAATTTTCAGTTTTCCACAATATTTTAGTTAGTTCGAAATGTTTTTTCTGATATGTTTTCAATCTGCAACGAATATGGAATTACGATGCCTAAAGTCTTAAAATGTCTTTATCTGCAGTGGATATCCTGGTGGAAAAGAATGAGTTTGAAGATTCATAATTGTATTATGATAAATTAAATATTATAACAAGGTTTGATAAAAGTCAAACAATTTTAAATAATAAAGCAATGTTTAATTTGTTATTATATTCTTGATTACATTTATGTATAAAGCTTTCCTAAACAAAGTAAAATATAATCAAACTAAATGATTATCTTTGATTTTTTAAGGTCTTTTTCAGCGCTGCTAATAATCTTTTGGATGAAATAATTTCAAAATGTGTTCTACTATTGTTTAAGAAAACTGGAACTTATGGAAATAGATCATTTTGAAAACACTTTATTAAGTAGAGTAATTATAGGTACTTTTTAAATTTTTATATTGTTCCTTTATTATACGGTCTGATATTTTCCATTACTCATTTTTTATTATCACAATTTACATTTTGATGCATTTTTTTTACATGCTAGTGAAATGCATGAAAGATTTCTATGGCATTTTTCTATTTTAGGAACATTGGTCTCACATGGAGCAAAATTCGATTTGGACGATAAGTTAAAAGGCGATTGTTTAAAGAGAATAATAAAATAATTAGCTTAATAAAGAAGCAAAAAAAACTATTATATTTTTGTATGCTTAAATTGTAAATAAACACAAAATGTAAAACTTTTTAGTTTTTTATCTGGATCTAGACTCTTAGACCTAAGTTTCATTTCTGAAAAGGTTTTTTTTTCTGTACATAATTAGTTATTTACTTAAATAAATTATACTTAAAAAAAAGTTGATAGAAAAATGTTAAAAACAAGAAAATATTTCATCTAGACGTAATAAAAACCATTAAATAACGTTTTCAGAAAAACGCTTATTCACCGCTTCATATGGACGTTCAAAAAACCAGTAAAAAACGTTTTTTGTAGAACCTTTAAAAAACGTTCATAAAACGTTTTTAAAAAACGTCACTGTTTTATATTAACGATCACCGTTTTTATATGGACGTTGAAAAATCAATTAAAAACTTTTTTTTAAGATTATTAAAAAATGTTCGCAAAACGTTTCTTGTGCCCACTGGGAATTGCCGTCCCGACTGTACGGTCGTACTGGGAATTGCCGTACCGACCGTACGGTCACGATGTTCCCTCAAAGGGTTGGCTTCCCGTTGAAAACCCAGACTAATCCCACTGACAAAATCACTATAGGAAACATGTGAGATACCCAGTTTGGTCCCAGCATTTTATTCGGTTAGGGTCCAAGCTGGTACCCAGTTGTATTGGTTAACTGGGAAGATCATTAAAAGTTCTATAAAAAAACACACACGGTTCTAAAAAAATCAACATGCCACAGAAAAAGACGTTTTTTTTGTTGCAATTTGTTTAGGCCGGCAGAGTTTTCATGGACGGCTTTCACTTTTTTTACAATCATTTGTTTTAACCAAGATCAAAATGGATTTAACATTTCCAATTATAACAATAGTAGAAAAAGCATTTAATGCATATAAATAGCAACGTATATATAATCAAAACTATTTTTTTCTTCAAACTGTCTTGCAAATACAACTTTTTTCATATCTCCTATTCAAATTTAATATGAGACGGTTTTTTAAAAGTTTTATTTGAATTCACTTACACTAATAAATTTATGTTAAAAATATATTTATAAATGAATTTTCTAAAAAATCCAAAAATACTATATATTAATATTTAAACTATATTACAATCTATTATACAAACCTAAACAATTGTCCCAATTTCCATTATAAATAGTTGTTAATGAACACCATAAAGCACCATAATTAACCGTTGTACACTCTTTGTAGGTCACTCCATTATAAGTGAAGGGAAAAGTGCAACATTTTCCTCCAATTGTTCTTTGCGCGCAATCTAGGACATACTAATAAAATTAGAAATAAATAAAAATAAAATTAAAGATTTAAATGAGAGTACAATTCAATAAAAAATGTTAAGACACGTAACACAATGATAAACACATTTAGTAACACAGTTAATGGCATAATTAGTGACACAATTGAAACTTTACCTACCTTCAAATAAAAAAAACTAGTATTGTATTAGTTATTGTATGTGCGCTTATTAGTACCCACTTGAAATGTGTTAGTTAGTTTTTATAAATAATTTTTTTTTTTTAATTAATTGAAAATATACTAAAATTGTGTGGAATAATAAACTTACCATGAACGGTATAATACGGGTCATGGTAAGTTTATTTTACACCGACCATATCAATACTTATTCTTTATATAGTTGTTTTGTTAGAATAATTTTTTGTAAGTTATATAAAATGAAAATTTTTTAAGTTAGTGTTTTAATTTGATGATTATTATTCCATTCTTAAAAATTGAAAACTTCTGTAAAAAAATAGGTGCAAACTTATAAATATTTTTCTTTGTTAAGTTAATAAAGTTATAACTTAAAAACCAAGTTTCCTAACTTGATAATCAAGATTAAAGTTTATAATTATAACTTTATAAAACGTTAAGTAATTTAAATATAAATCAAAACAAAGGAGATTTTGCCGCAACGCAACTTTTTAACAAAAGTAAAACTTTACAAAAGTATAGAAAATAAAAATCAAAGAAAAACAAACAGTTAGAGCGCAAGGGTTTAAACGACATTTCACTTCAGAACGCTCCAACCTTTGGCTACTAAGGCGTATTTTTTGATACTATTTAAACAAAATACTTGATAAAACGCCAAATAAATGCTCACAATAAAAATTTGCATTTAAGGTGCAATAGGTACCCCGAGTTCTGCGCAAATATGCGCAAACACGCACTAACGGGAGCAGCAGCATTAGCAACATATTAAATTTGATATTGTAATATTATCGTATTAGTTAGTAAATGAATAATTGATATGACTTGCAATTGTTTTATCAGCAACTAACTAGTTTAAGATGCTGCTATTAGCATTTTTTATCATGTATCAGTTGAACTCGAAATATTACGGTCTGATATAATTAGCAATAACTCTAAAATAATGCTTAACAAAATATTTCCAATTTTTTTTTTTAACAAAGTTTATTTTATCTATAAAAAATTTTTAATCAGTTTTATAGACAGAAAAGGTTGGTTTGAAAGTAATTAAGCCTTGTTGAGAGTAGGTGCCATCATGAGCTGGACCTTGCATTCAGTTATCTTTTTTGATGACTTTTAGAATCCTTTTTCCACGCGTCTGTAATTCTCATGGCTATTATCTTGATAGAAATAAAAACTTAGTTGAAATTAATTGATTGAACATTCTAGAAACAGCTTCTCAAAACAGCAGCCTCCTTATATAAACTGAAGAGTACTTTCTTTAATTGTTTATTCAGGATTTTCTTAATTTGAAAACTATTATATAAAATACTCAAAACATCCAACAAAACATTGATAAAATGCTTTAAATTTTTAAATATCATATAACTTTGTTAACAAAATTAGTTAAAATTAAAGATTTCATGCAGAATCATTTAGTGAACGTATCCTTTTAATAACTTAATGATTTTACATTTCTCAAAACTTTTAATGAAATACAAACACCGTTAAAATTTCATAATTTAACTTCATCCAACTTTAAATATAAAATAATATTAACTTAAAAGTTACAAACAGTATTCTGCCATTATTTCTGCCCTTTGTAGAAATAAAAAAACTGAAATTAGTCCTATTACATTTTTCGGTAAAGGGAACTAATAAAACATTTTAAAACGTTTCTCATTAGTCATAAAATCTCAAATGAAAATAGATATTATTTTTAATAGTGATAGTTAAAATATAAAAACGCTAATACATTTTTATATGATGGCTGTCAGAAAAATATTTTCAAGTTCAAAAATAAGTTAAAGCTTCATTTTCTACAACAAAAAAATTTTAAAAAGGAAAAACTTCTATATTTTTGTGTTCTAGAAAATGATTTTTAAGGTAATTATATTCGGAGGTATACTTGCTTAAAAAAAAAACCTACAGCATTTCAAAAACATTTTTTATTTTAACATCAGGTGCATTTTCATAGACATCAGCATAGAAAGTTTCAGTAGCAATACTTTTGTTGACACGAAGTTCATCATTATCATTTTCAAAAATAGGGTCTACAATATGGAAAGTATGACTATATAATCGGATACTGGTAAGCAGACAGTTTTTTTTATTCCAATCTAAAATAATAAAATAATCTGCAAATATCAATAGCTTTTCTGGAAAGGTAAAACAATAGCATTTCTGGAAAGGTAATA